TAATAATAATAATAATAATAATAATAATAATAATAATAATAATAATAATAATAATAATAATAATAATAGTAATAATAGTAATAATAGTAATAATAATATAATAATAATACTACTACTCTTTACTTACTTCCAAACAATTAGATTCTCATCAGGTACATACTTTGCCTTACCAGTTGAAACGCGCAGATTAATATTTGCCGTATTCAAAGGAGTCGGAATCCGAATACTAACATTATTCGCGTACAACTTTGGTGAGAATTGTGCTTTTACTGTGATCCGGTATTCGACTCGCGATTTTCCAATTTCATTGACGACAGGGTGAACTCGGAATGGAAGATTCACATTTTCGGTGGTACGATATCGCATTAATTCAAATTCCCCATCGGGTGGGATAAAGCTTATTGTTCTATCTGATCCGAATTTTCCCAGTTTTACACATTGGTGAAATTGGCAGTCGTCTATCTCCACGGCGTTTGGTTTCTTTTGTTGGCTTTTTTTTTAATTTTATATCCATTGGATTATTCTTTTTTTCTTTTTTTTTTTTAAGGAGATACTAAATAACGATGCCACACTTACGTAGTTGATTTCAGAACGCCATCCTTTTCTAGCAACAATTTATCATTTAGACCGAACTTACATTCCGGTGTTCCAGACAAATATGCTCGCATCATTATTTGGCCAGCAACATCAGAACGTAGTACAGTTCCTATTGTCATTTATTTAACGAAGTGAAAATTAATACACTTTATTAATTCGGATTAAATCAAAATTCAATGAATAAAATAAGAACCTTTTGTGCTCATCAACAAATTAACAGACTCGATAACGTCTATAAATGCTTCGTTCTTCCGATACTTTATGCCGGGTCTACGCCAACTAGTTGCACTTGTTGATTGAGCTGTGATTTGTGAAGAAGCTTCTGCCTATTTAATAATTAATAAATGCATTTGTCTAATTTAATTTGATTAATTATTCAATTATTCAATTGTTTTCTTACTAAAGCGCGTTCTGTTTTGACACCTTCTGTAGTTATGTACATTTTTAGAGTTTCAGCCTCACTATTTTGTGGATATCCAAAATCCAACACCTCTAAAAGCTCATTTAATAAATTCAATTAATTGATAAACAAATTAACGACATTTTGCCAATTAAAAAAAACTACCCACCATCCAACAACTCATAAATAAGCACAAAATTATTCTTTACCGACTCTTCATCAAATTTTCCAAAGTAGCTTTTTCCGATATTCACCAACTGATAACAAAACTCGAAGACTAACGCTGCATTGGCATTACATTTTGTTACGGCGACTACAAACAAGTTCTCATGTCGAACATGGAAAAACGAGGTGGAGCCAAGTGTTATTATTGGTGAGCGAACATCTGTGTTTGAAATTACTTGTATTCGAAAAATGTCGGCTACTGAGCGTCTATTGTTTCAGAGAAAATAAGATTTGGCATAAGAGAAACAACATGGACGAATGAAAAATCTACATGATACAAACTTCAAGTCATGTCGATACAGTCGAGAAATTAAAACTTCTCCCTTTTGATTGTAAATAAAGAATGCACTAATCATACTATATAAATTTTGAAAGTAGAAAACATCAGAAATTGATCAAATTCTTGATAAACTTTCCATATATTGTCACGTGATATTGATTAATCCAATTATTATCGTTATTATGGATTTTTGATATAAGAAAGATTTGATTGGACCCAGCGACTTTCTTATATCGAGAGCCACCTGTATACACATGTAACGGAACACGAAAATTAACTTTCTAGGATTTTTATTTTCATGACTATTAGTTCAAACAAAAGAAAAAAGTGTTCATTTGAAATCTTGAAATCACTAATATAATTCGATAACAGATTATTTTGTGGAATCTACCATATAATTA